CTTTCGCCAGGACGATGCGGACCCGCACAGCCCCACGTCGCTGCAGCACTACCACGGCTTTGACCGCAGGCCGAACCTGCTCAAGAGCGGCAAGAAGGTGGCGCAGGCTTCGGCGTCCAATGCGTCCCCCGCGGACATCAAGCCCGCCGCACGCGACGTGAAGCTCAAAGACGAGGGCGAGAAGATCGTTGTCGATGGCGTGACGTACTACGAGCAAGAGCCCTCGGAAGCGGACCAAGCCGAGACCGACTCGCAAGATGCCGAGGCTGAGGTCGAGTACTTTTCCGGCTCTCCCTCGGCGATGGCGTCGGTGGAAAAGACGTTCCAATCGGTGCCTCTTGCCAAGGACCTTGTGGGAGCAGCGGCGGGCGGGCGGTCGCTTGCACTGTCTGCATTTGCCCTCAGCCTGATGACCAACGACGCGAACCGGTTCGAGGCGGTGCAGGCGCTGTGGGACTCGGGGGCCGAGGTGATGGTCATCATCGATGCCGCCACGCCGCGCGGGTTTGCGAGTGTGGCCTCGGCGCGCGCACAGCTGCTCGAGCTCGGTCGACAAGCGCGGGGAGACGAGAGGGTGCATGTGGTGGCGCCGTGCTCGCACGACAAGCCGTGTCCTCTGCTGCATCCGTTTGCCATCGGCAGCTCGGTCGCCGCCACTGTGGGCGCAAGGGCGGATATGGGCAACCCGTTCAAGTCGAACGACGTGTGCGGGTTCTTTGCCAGATACCATACACCGACGTTCCTCAGACGCACGAAACACTCGGATAGGGGAGAGGAGAATGTGGCCTACTCGTACGTCGTCGTTCGTCGCGGACCAAGACCAGGCCTGCTCAGCGAGGCACAGAGGAGGGCGGCAAAGCAGGGCGGAAAGAATGTCGAGCGCATCGCGGCCGAAATGGCAGACGAGGCCAGCAGCACCAAGTCTGGCATTCTTGATCTCATCCGCAGCGCCAAGCTCGATGCTGGCAAGCGCAGGCAGCTCGAGGAAGTGGACGCCAGCGCCGCCATCGCTGCGCCCGAGCGTGCGCACGAGGACGCGGAGGGCGAAATGAGCGATCAACAAGCCATGGACGAGCTGCTCAAGCTGCTCCCCGACGCACTCAAGGCCGAGATGCAACCCGAGGGCTCGACTTCTACGGCCCAACTGACGCCCGAGCAGCTGGATACCATCATGGCGTCGGTACGCTCTTCGCAAGCGTCTAGCTCGGCCTCTGGCGATGTGTCGATCGAGGCTGTCGCCGAGGGTGGTGTGGGGGAGGATGGGATGATTGGCGTGACGATGCCTACGGCGGGCGAGGAGCTGGCGATGCGGCTCGAGTCGTACGCGTGGCCACGGCTGATCAAGCCGCCGCTCAAGAAGGGTGGGCATGTGACGTTCGATGCGTGCTGCAGCACCGGCAACGTCGAGCGGTTTACGATCAGCAAGGCTGCGGGCAAACAAGCCTACCAGGACGCGCGCAAGAGCAAGCAAGGCGATCTCTTCCCGCACCCGCCCCGCTCGCGCTCGGTGATCAAAGCGCTCAACCCTCTCACGGCTCTCGAGTACCAATCTGGCGCGGAAGAGGTGGATTTGATGGAGAAACTCACGATTCGTGCGCCGAGCAAGCTGAACCGTTCGCAGCAGCAGGTTCAACTCGTCGGTATGGATGGAGAGGATGCAGAGGATATTCTCGCCGAACTGTATGGGGATATGGACACGGAGGGTGGAAAGCCGATTGATGTAGGCATGGCATCGTACCGACTCATCTCGCCCAACTTGGTGACACCCACGCGCAAACAGCAGAAACAAATCAGCATCAACTATGCCAACAAATGGAACACTCCGGCAACCACCAAGACACGCCTCACCAATCCACGCACCAACCTCAACTCGACCCCTCAACGCAAACCCACGCCCACCAGCACCCAAGGCGACGGCGACAGCGACGGATTCCAAAGCTCCCTCCACCCGCCAGAGCGCAAAGTCCGCCGTTCCTCGCGTAAGAAATCGCGCGGCGATTGGGATAGCGAACTGTTCGGCCACTAACCCCCTGCACTCTTCAATCAATACACCCCACACTCCATCCAAGCGTCCATGTTCTGCGGGACCAAAAAGGTATATGTGAGATTCAGGTGTGCATGAGTAACAGGATCCGCAGTGAATGGACGAGGAGGATTTGGTGTGCGGGCCGGACATTATGCGGCCCCTACTTCCCCCCCCCCCGTCGCGTGTGCGCGCGAGCTCATCCCACTGTGGTCGACTGTGGTGCTGCACCTGTTTGGCCGCGCGGTAGTGGCGACTGTCGCAACGCACTCGGTGCGCTCGCCGGGCTGAACCGTTTGGACGCCGCGTTGCCGATGGGTGCTGCGGCCATCAAGCCGTCCGGAGTGGCGGTGCGCGACGCCGAGGCGGTGCTGGCGAGCGAGAGACTCGCCAGCTCCGACTCGAGCGCGTCCGAGCCTGTGCTGGCTGCGCCGTTGCTGCTGGTGCGCGACATCTTGGTGGGCGAGTCGGCGACGAGCGTCGAGCGCGCCGCAGCTACCGGATTGGCAGGCAGGCCGGCGATGCCACTGAGCGTATCGACGCCTGCCAACACGCGGTTCGCGGGCGACGGCCCGCCGTTGGCCGCATCGAACAACGCCGCAGCTACGGGCTTGGGCGGAAGGTTGGGGTTGGAGCCGCTCTGCTGACGGCGGTGGCCGAGCGAGCGGCCGAACGACGGCGTGTGTGCATGGCCGCGCAGCGGCTTGGAATGGTCGGGCGTGGCGGGCATGGGAAGCTCGGCGGGTTGCTTGGTGGGGCTGCCCATGACGCCGCCGACGTTGGAGCGCGAGCGCTGTCGATTCGAGACGCTCGAGATGATGGCGCTGGCATCGTCGCCGTCGTACGGCTTGATCTTGGCAGGCACGCCGGTGTCGTTGATGAGCTGATGCGGCGGTGCCATGATGGTGCGCAGGTACGCCTTCTTGGCGGTGGCGGGATCGGCAAAGATGATGAGCGCAGTGGTGTCGTCGACCCACTTGATCTTGTAGCCGCCCTTGTCGTCCTCGTAGATGGCAAACGCATGCTGCAGATCGCGCGTCTTGAGGTGCGGAGGGAATCCCGAGAGTTCGAGGATGCGTGTGACGAGAGGCGAGAGGAGCGGCAATGCGGAGGCGACCGACATGATGATTCGGCGGTAGAGGGTGCAAGTGCCGAGCAGGGTTGGTGGAGAGAGGGGTGGTGGAGTTCGAATTAGAATTTTGCGCCAGCGCGGGTGTGCATAAGCTTGCAGTGGACAGCTTGGTGCGGGAGCCAGATTAAAGCGTTGTGACGATAAGGTTGGATGCGGTGGCAATAGTGTGATTGAGGGGACAAGAGAGACGGCAGTGCGGTATGGACGGGTAAAGCGATGCAGCTGATGTGGGCGAATGAGAGTCGGGTGCAGTGAAGCAGCAGGGGACTAGGAGAGGGAAGAGCGTCAAAAGCGGAGCGAGTCGATGGGGGCGAGGGCAGCAGAGGGGAGATGGTGGAGTTGGGAAGGCGTGGTGATGAGGAGGGCGACGTGTCGTCTGCACTCTTTCTGCTGAGCTGCAGCAGCGCCGCCCGCTTCTGGGCGTCAAAGCGTGGTGAAAGCGCGGCAGATTTGGGCTGTGCACGCGCGCAGCTGCAGCTCACGGGTCATTGTGCCGCCGCTATGCCTCTGCCTTTCTGCCGCTGCCGCTGCCGAAAGCAGGCTCAAATTCGCGCGTCCACCTTTTTCGCTTCAAGCGCGGCGCGCGTAGAGCTGCCGTCTTGGCTGCGAGCAGTCGAAAGCATGCGGTCCTCCTGGCCGTCAGCATGGGGCGCGGCGAGGTTTTCCGATTGTGTTTTGGCACGGTCTTACACGTCGCAAAATCCGAAACGCAGGGTCCAACTTGGAGCTTCTTCTGATCTTCTGATCTTCCAACGAGTCTTTCCGAAGTTGCCTCACCACGACTCGCAACACCACACAACACACGCGCTCGTCGTCGGCTCCATGAGCCACAACACCGGCGGACAACATGTTCCCACCGTGAATCGATCGCTGGACAAACCCGTCTACGGCAACTTTCATCGCTACTACCACATCCGCAATCCCGCTGGTCTAGACTCCTCTGCCAGCACCACCGACGTCCATCCTGCGCTGGCACTCGACAGCCGTGTGGCCGCCATCCTCAGTTATCTCTCCACACTGCCGGAAGGCTTGCATTCTGTCACGACCGCACTGGATATAGGATGCAACGTAGGCAAGCTCACCATCCAACTGGCGCAGACTTTGGCAGGGCAACCAGAATCGGGAGAGCTGCGACCGATCTGCGTCACGGGCGTGGACATCGATCCGAGCCTGATCAGCCAAGCGAGAGAAGCAGCGGCAAGAGCTCGGTCACTTTATCGACCCAACGAACAGCTCGAAACCCAACAGGCAGAAACGGCAAGCCACCCGGCCAGCGTTGCCGCACAACCACACCTGCCAGTCGACGCTGCATTCTTTCCCTCGGTCTTTCCGCTCCTGTTCGGCGCAGTCCCAGCTCCTCGCAGAATCAATGATAGAGACAAAGCAGACGCCGAGACGAAGAAAGACAGCGTGCACTGTGCCCATCTCTGCGCGCCCCAGCTTGACTTTGTCGCGGCCGAGTGGGTGAATCTGCACACGAGCGACGCACCAAGCCCGTTCCACTACGACCCACACGACTTGTCACGCCTGCAAGCCGCGGACTCGGCAGGGTACGACGTAGTGCTAGCACTATCGTTGACCAAGTGGGTGCACATCCAACAAGGCGATCCTGGGCTTGTCAAGCTGTTCGCACGCATCTTCAGCGTCCTGCGGCCTGGCGGACACCTGTTTCTGGAACGGCAAGAGTGGCGGAGCTACCACTCTGCGCACGGCCTCGACCCGACCATGCGATCCAAGATCAAGACGCTTCAGCTGCGACCCGACGGCGATTTCGAGTGGCTGCTCGACTCGCTCGGGCTCACGCTGGTCGAGACCATCGGCTACGGCACGGGACTCGGCTTCTCTCGTCCGCTGCAGGTGTTCGCAAAGCGCAAAGAGGTGAGCGTTGAGATGGCCGAGCACTTTATGTGTTATTCGGAGCAAGGCTTGCCTTGGGTCGCGCGCTCATCCGCTTCTCACGCATGACACAGCGGTGGCTTTGAAAATGGCGTGATGCGTGCATGCGTGTGTGACCGTAAAGATGCGAGGAGAGAAAAGCCGGGCTTGATCTAATCAGATTGCAGATTGCACTGCGGAACGGGTCGGAACGAGCATCGAGGGCTTTGGATCACCGGCAAGGCACCGATGCCTGACCGCTCTAGCTTCGGCACTTGTGCGCACTAAGCGCCGATGAAGCGTGTCCGAGGTGCATACAATGCGCGGGCGTGACTCGAGTTCTTGGCGTTGCCCAATCGTGCCTGCACAGGTCGCTCCAGCGCGAACAGGCAAGCAGTACCAGGCGCGGCTTAGCGCGTTGCGTTTTTATCAGATTAGATCGGTGCGCTCGACTTTTGCCGAGGCGCGCGACCTTGTGCCCACCGCGCGGCTTTGGTGCTGTCCGCCCGCTATCGCTCCACCGATGCACGCGTGCTTTGGCGGCCCGTCTCTCAAGCCACTTCTTACCCCTCGGGGGCTGCGCCGATTCAGCGAGAACTGTCAGGCGTGCTCCTGGCAAGCTACGCTACGGTTTCTGTGCCCCAGAACGTCCTTTCTCGTTTCCTCCCACTGTTTTCGTCCATCCTCAAAGAAGCTAGATGAAGCCGTGGGTGGAAGCTGATCGCGGGGGTTGGTGAGCTCAAAGGGCACTGCAGAGGATGGCTGCGTCTGAGACCGGATGCAGGGGGGTGGAGGCCGGTTTTTTTTTCGAGCTGGGATGGCGAAATCGAATTTTGCATGAGGCGCGTGTTCGGGTGTGCTGCAGCGCAGCCCGGCATCTGCAGGCAGGCACTCTTGGACCCGCGATCAGGCACCGCACCCGAGACTCAGCCGAACACAACATAGGAGCCAAAGAGACCCTTGGCAAGCCGCCCGCCCACCAGCGATCGCGCATCCAAAGCAACCTTGACAGCGATCCATCACTCGCTCTCTCCCTCCCTCGTCTGCCTCCAGCCAAAGGTGCGGCGAGCGGCGTGTTGCGTGACGCTTTGCTTCGATCCGACGCGACCCGACACACGCGCTTATCTCCCTATATAGACCGCCTCGTCGCTCGCAACTACCCCTCAAGCTCTGCCCAGCATCGGCCTGCTCTCCATCATGACTTGTCCATTCGCAAAGTTCGCGGGGATTTTGCCTGCGTCTGCCGCACACGTGCATGCTCTACACGGCCTTGATGCTGCGCCCATCTCCGACACCAACGCACGAGGGCTGTCGCTATCCGACGCGCTTCGTCTGGGAACAGCACGCAGCCATCGAGCGGTGGAAAAGTCGCGCGGCGTATCGCTGCTACTCCAAACCACCGCCACCGCTGCAGACGCAGCAGACGAAGGGCTCAGCTTCGACAGAACCGACTACACCCGCTTCAACATCATGCTCGCCTGCATCTACACGTGAGTCCCTCCTCCTTACGCCAGCGCGAGTTGTCGATGTTCGATTACTGATGAGTGTGTGGGCGTTGTAGGGTTTTGGAGTCGGCCATGATTTCTGCACAATCGACACCGTTGATTGCGCCGCTGTTTGAGGATCCGGGTTTGATGGCCGGGTTGGCGCGCAGTGCGGCATTGCTGGCGGATGTACACGCGCATCTTGACACGATCCACGCACACACTGGTGCGGACCTGACGGATCTAGCCGACCATGCCCGCGACGACCACTCCACCTCATCAACACTACCGGAAGATACAGAAGATCCTCTTGCTCGAGCACGGCTGCTGGTGCTCGTTCAAGCCGCCACACCACATGCGCTCTCCCTCACCCGCGACCTCAAAGTGCCAGTGCTTGGCGAGGAGCACATTGCACTGCTTCGTCCCGCACAGGTGCACGCCACACTGGCATACGTTGAGCGACTCACCCACATCCGTCCGGATCTGCTTCTCGCGCATGCATACACCCGCTATCTAGGCGACCTTTCTGGAGGCCAGCACATCGTACGCAAAGTCACCAAACGCTTCCCCACCCCCACCGGCGGCTTTGCATTCTACGCTTTCCACAACCCCACCCACCTCAAGACCCGCTTCCGCACCGCAATGCACGCCCAACACCTAACAAAGGCACAGATGCAAGAGGTGGTGGATGAAGCAAATACGGCGTTCGACTGCAATACCGCCCTCTTCGAAAGCTTGCTACCCGCCCATTGGCGACAACCCAGCCAAGATACCCACAAGAGCACAGCGGTGCACACTGGCACAAAGCCCACACAACTTCCAATCGCTGCTTGGATCGTCGTAGCCGCTGCTACCGCCACAATCACCGCGGCCTGGCTTGCTCACTCCCCATCCACCGCCATCCTCGCATAGCCTTTGCCCACGCAACCACTTTACGCATACGCACACACCTTTCTCGTGCCTGTGTCTGCCCCTTGCCTCGAATGTGTGAAATTGTCTCTAGGCTGGTGTTGCTACGCGGTGACCGCTCCTTGAGCGCGCCTTCCCCGTGCTGCCGGCCGTCGATCGTCGATACAAAGCTCACCTACATCCGGCAGCCCCACCACCTGCAGAGCGTTGGTTCGATCACCCAACGGCGCCGGTCTTGGCCTTGGCGACGCTGCTGCGCCCGTGCTGACGAGCGCACGACGCTTCGACGCACGCGGCGGTGCGGGCAGTGACTGCACATTCTCGTCCTGCACCTCCTCGAGCGACTCGGCCCTTGCAACCGGCGACGCCTCCGCACGACCACCCTTCACCGCTGCCAGGTCCCACGCCGAGGTCGAGGTGCGCAATCTCGGCCCCGTCGCCCCTGCCCGCGCCAGCGCCTGCAGATCCATCGAGCTGCCGCGCACCGCAAACGTCTGCGAGGCCGCACCGCGCAGCGTCCGCTCTCGCCCCGCACACGCAGCGGCCCAGTCAACGCTCCCGCGCCGCGTCGGCGTCTCCATGCGCCCCAGCCAGTTGCTGTTGCTGCTGCGGCTGCTGCGCGCGGCGCCCTCGGCGCGCAGCTGGTCAAACGCATGAATCATCTGCTCCGGCGGCAAAATGCGCTCCAGCGGTAACGGAGGCGTCGCCAGACACTCGCTCGTATCTCCGTCCATCCTGTTCAGGCTGATCTCGGAGTAGTCACTCGCCAGTTCAGCTGGAGCGGCGACGCAGGCTTCACGAGCCAGCAAGGGTCTCGCGCCGGCACGACTGGTGGTCCTTGAACTGGCGACCACGGCGCAGTGGCTCTGAAGAGAGGGACTCGTCGAGTCAGCTGTGCAGTCGGCCTGTGCAGGTGCTAAAAGCTCGTAGCTAAAGTCTCCCTCGGCCGGCTCTACACGCATCGAAGCATCCACCTGCACATCGTGCACCGATTCGTCCGCGTTCCTCGACGCGAACGTCTGCTTGACGCTCGGCCGCGCCCTTGGCCGCAGCGAGCTGAACGTATGCCGAGTGAGGCTCAGCAACGAAGATGTGCGCGTCATTCCCCTCGACTTCTTGGCCGAAGTCTCGTATGCCGAATCCGGATGGCCAGCACCCCGATCTTGAAAGCTGCCATACTCGCTCGCCGATGCAGACATACGCCCTGTTTCTTGAACAGAGGATGTGCCCTTCGGCAACAGCCGGAAAGATTTGAGCTTGCTGAGGCCCTTAGACGGCTCGTGTCGATGCGCCTCGGACGAGTCGCGCGCATGATCCTGACCGTCCATCTCGAGACCCAGCCCCACCGGTCTGGCTTGTGTCGCTGAAGCTTCAGAAGTGGAAGAGTTGTCTCGCCACGCCTTGATGCGCGCCGAGCCGAACCCCAAGATCGAGCCTGACCGACGGTGCCTTGTGGGCACAGTGGTTTCTGCCGCCATCGTGGCGGCACTAGAGGGCTCTGTGAGTCGGCTCGTAGTAGCTTCTCCGCTACCCTCCCGCATCGGCTGAGCAAAAGACGCTGAATAAGCACAAGCGGTAGCAGGACGGGTGACCGAGACGCTGGAAGAAAGCAGCCGAGTGCTCGAGATGCTGTTGCGGCGTGTGCTCATGAATTGGCTTGATCCCGAGAGAGATAAAGAGGACGAGGTGGTAGAGATAGACCTCTTGTGCTTGAGATTCGAGCGCAGCTGCATGGTATCGGGTGGACCCATCGGGAGCGCGTTGCCCGCACCTGTGGATTCGGCAGTCCAGCTTGGCAGAGTCGATGCGGTATGTACGTCCTTGGGACGACCTGAGGCGGCTTGCTGAAGTGCTCGGGAGCTGGCCAAGGCCAAGCCGAGGCTGGAAGACGACGCCACCCGCTTGCGGGTCGGCTTTGGCGTTGTGTCGTCGATCGTCGATGCGGCACCCTGCTCCATGCTTGGCAGCAGTGGGCTGTTGGACAAGCTTGCAGGTGTGCGGAAGCCCGGCAGGTTGCCGAGCGAAGGTCGCGACGACACGCGTTTCTTTGGTAGGAGTAAATGGACAGGCACGCCGTCGGCTTCCTGGAGCAGCCTGATCGAGCGCGATAAAGCCTCAAGCCAGCTGTCGAGGTCCTCCTCGGACATTGTGCGAAGGTAGACACGCTCTAAGCCTTGGCCGAAATTGGACAAGATCGGAGTGCGGGGCGACGGGGCGCCGCTCGAAGTCATGTCGGTCAAATCGCTCGAGTCGGCAATGGAGGCGACACTTGAGGCCGAGGATGCCAAGGCGGCGGGACTGTCGGTGCGGAAGCTGGCGCTTGAGGACGAAGAGACTTTGGCATACAGTTTGCGCGATCCCGATCTGAGCTTGGCCCATGAGTTCGAGTGGGAGGAGGACGTTCGGGTGCGAGGCTCAAAGTTGGTCGACATGGCAACGGGAGTGTGTGCGCCGGATCTGAGTGCCTGAAAGCTTACACGCCCCGAAGACGACGCGAGGGAGGGACGAGGCTCCTGATCGGGAGGGTCACGCGGTACGCTGTCGGACTGGAGCCGATTGAGGCTCATGGCTGACTTTGGGCGGAAAAGCCGGGAGCTCTTGGGAGGCTCGAGCGGAGTGCAGCTGATGACGAGGTTGCAGAGCGCGTCTGTATGCGGCGGTGCGGGCTGAACATGGGCGAATGAGCGAAGGTCGATGGTGCAGATGGGCTCGTCGGGCATCACGATGGCGGCGGTGCGATCGTGGTAGACGAGCAGACAGCCATCTTCGAGACTGCACCACTTTTCGGACCAAGCGGTGCGATCGCTGGTCTGCGGACTGTCGGAGAGAGTGGCGGTGTTGAGAATAAGATGACCTTCGAGGCGCGGCATGCGCAGATCGAAGGGCGAGGCCGACATGGCTGAGAGGAGCGCAGTGGATGCAGTGAGGACAAGGTCGGAAAGTGAGCGAGCCGAATGGGGCCTGAGAGGTTGGTCAAGTGCGCAACGTGCTAGCGCATGCTGGTGGTGTATCGAAAGCCGAGGTCGGTGCAACTAGCGACGGTGACGCCCCGAGTGAAGCGAGGCGAGGCTGATTTGTGCGGTGTTGGCCAGCAGCACTGCGAGTGGGGTGGTAGGAGCAAGTATGCGCCACGACAATCCAGATGGAAGCAGGGATGGTGGGTGGATGCGACTCCGTGGGTGATGCGGCGCATTCAAGTGCAGATGCTTCTGGCGCCGTAACCCAGCCGACCGCGACGACCGACTCAGCGGTTCGGCTTGAGCCGTGCTCCCTCTGTATAATCACACGCTTCGGAGGTGCAGCGATTGCGGCTTTCAAAGGTGTTGTTCTCGGCTCGCCTCCGTCGACGTGCATGGACGTGTGTTTTTTTCTGTTGCGAACCAAATGAAAAAAGGCCGTGATGGTCTCGGCTAGCCCAGCGATCCACCTGTCGAAGCGCGAGAGGTGTGGTCATGCATGCATGTGACCGACTCTGCCTCCTCAGCGGCCTCGCGGTGCCAGCCTCGACCACGCGCCTGGCCCCACCGCCAACAAACAAATCCACAAACAAAGGCCATGCAACCCTGGCTGCACGCTTCTCCTTCTTCCTTCCGTCGACACGTTCACTGCTCCTCGCTCACGGGTCTCGTTTGCAGTGCACACATGACCAGAAGAGCATAGTGACATGCATCGGTGTATGTGAATGAAACAGAGACATACAGATCGTGCGGCTCATCTCGTCGGGCCACGCCGAAGTGCACGCATGCAGGCCATCGCGTGTCTGGTCGGGTCGGCATTTCCGCGCTGGCGGCTTGAGCTCCGACGCGCTTTTCCGCGCCGAGTTGGCTCGACTCTCGCCGGATCGCCGCCGGTCTCGACCGTGCTGTGATTGCTCGTAGACGCTGCAGCGGCCCGCGGGCGCGCGTCTGTCAACTGTCATTTGCCTACACTTGGCTGTCGTGCCTGCCTGTTGCTCGTTGTCAGCAGCCTCGTTGTCTTTCGTCGTGTGCATCCATCTCCCCCTCGGCTTCGTTCCGAACAGGCTTGCTGCTCAGCTGAGCCTGCGGCCGTGCGCTTTCGAGCAGTCGAGCGAGGGAAGCTCCGTGGCAAACTGCGCGCACGTCCCGGGGTCCAGATTGGTCACGTCCGGAAGCCTGTCGTTAGCCCGCTTGACGCCCTCGACCGAATTCTGAATCGCCAGCTCGGCCGACGCAAGACCTCCAACCGCGCCGACCAGGCCTATTCCCAGCAAGGCTTTTGTCGAGGGTTCGAGCTTCTTCCCTTCGTAGTGGTGCTCCTTGAGGCTGAGCACAGCCGCTTCCACTGCCGCTAGCCGCTCTGAATGATCGGACCCATCGGACGAAGGCGATCCTCGATACTGCTCGTGCCTGAATCCAGTGCTGGCCAGGTCGTGCTTGGCATCAAAGACGTAGAGAGGCGGAGGCCTCTGGGCGTCAAGTAGACGATGAATGTGTGCCTCTTTGGCCTTGACGGCGTGAATCTCGTCGACTTCAGAGAGGCGCTCGCTTGGAGATCGGCTGAGCGCACTCACAAAGCTCTCGTTGTCGCCCACATGTTCCAACGCGCCTTCAGCCTCCTTGGCGGCGTCGACGAGCTCGCGTTTGACCACATGCGCGGCGCTTCGCAGCTGCTCCGCTCGTTTGGCGGCATCGGCTTTAGCGACAGCCTCTTGGAGCTTCTCCCTCTCTGCGTCTTGCAGGTGCGCGAGCTGCATCGGTATGACCGAGCTGGCAATGTAGCCACCTGTGCTCACCAAAGTTAGGCCCGCACCGACGCCGGTGATCCACTTTTCGCGCGTGCCGAAGAGCGCCTTCTTCTGCGAGGCTTCTTGCACCTTGTCGTCCAGCTCGGTCCAATGGCTATCGAAGGACCGCACCGTCTCCGGTAGCGACACCTCCGCCGCTCCAAGGTTGCGCATCAGAGGTGCCGCGGACGTGATGCCCGTCAGGGTCAGATAAATCGCCGCGATCGCTGCGTTGAGCTTCATGTTCGTTAGAGTAAAGTGTCGTTCGGGAGGCGATATTCGGAGGCTTGCGATGGCGTCCATCCGCCACCCTCTAATTGCCCGGCTACTTATGTGACTCGCGGCTTGTAAGGCATGCTCGGAACCAACGCAGCGGACTGGCCTGCAGCATCACCAACGGGATCCTTATCGCGCAAGCCCGGCTACCAAGCCCACATCTCATGTCGCCGCACCCTGTCGTGTGCTCCGCCTTTGCAACACTGGCAGCTTCAACCCACCTCGCTTACTCAGAGTCTCAAGCTCATCCTCGGCTGCTGAGCATAGATAGGGTGCTCTCCCGTATGCCCGATCGTGCAGCATGCCCGTGGATGCTGCTACCACCTTCCACGCTCCAGCCCATGCAGAACCAATCCGACGGCTCATCCACTCGCCTAAGATCTCTCCAACGCTTCGTCCGACCATTCGCCCACCCAGGCCAATCTCGCGCAATCACATCACACCATTACGGTATCCATTTTTCATCGACGGATGCCGATATGAAGTAGTGCAGCGCCCGAGCTAGTCGTCGTGTGGGCGCGGTTCGGGCGCGCTATTCCCGCTTACGCCGGCCTGCTGATGCAGCTTGCCGTCGGCGAAGTCGAGTATGAGCTGGATCACCTTTTTGCGGTGATCCTTGGTCGCCTTGCGCAGTGCGTTGGAGCGCCTTCGCATGCTGCTCGTGATACGATCCTTATTGTCGGTCGCCAGCCGTGCCGCCCGCGTGAGTTCATGGATGTGCGCCCGCCTCTCTTCATCCGACGCCAGCGGTGGCTGTTTCATCGCCCTTCCGTCGGCCTTGCCGCTCGCAGCCGCCAGCGAAGCCTCGCCCTTATCTCCACAAAGGGTCTGGACCTGGTCAATCTGCTTTTGCAGATAGCCCACCGACCGGCGCACCGCATCGTGCAGCACCTTGTCGGGTCGCATCCCGGTGTCCAAAGCCGACTGCACCAGTTCCTGCGCAGCCAGGTACCGGCGCATGCGCATCAGCGTGTGAAACCTCGTCGTCACATTGTGCGTCTTGGCCTCGTTCACCGGCCTCTCGGTGAGCGTAAACTTGCCTTCGGCAGCCTGGGCGGCCTCGATGATGTTGGCGATGGTGTCATCGATCTGATGCCCATTCGCAACCAGCTCCTGCAGCTCGTTACGCGCACCTTGCGAATCGCCCGCGCGCACGTAGCCCTGAATGAGCGCGGTATGGATGCGCAGAGTGGGCTGACACCCGATGATCTCTCTCGCGTTCTGCTTGAGCTGCTGGGCCTCCTGCAGCTTGCCGCTGGCGGTGAGGCCTTCGACCAGCGGCGCAATGTGCATCATGTTCGGCTTCACACCATGCATCAGCATAGCTTGGTACACCTTTTGGGCAGACTCGTGGTCGCGGCGCACCACAGCATACACCCGGATGCGCATCGCATACGCCTCGGGACACAGCGGCCGGCTGAGGTCACGCTCGAGCGCATCGGCGTGTCCGCCAGGTTCGGCAGTCGACATTGTATCTCGCAGCAGCGACGACGAGTCGGCTATGAGCCAGTCGCGCAGCTCGTCCTTCGTTGCTCTGCTGCCTTTGCTGAGGTCCGGACGGCCTGTGCTTTTCGCAGCCCGCGACTTGCTGGTAGAGCCCGCCTGCTCTCGAGGCAGATCGGTCGAGTGCTGGGATGCCAGAATGATGCGGTCCGACACGCCGAGATCCTGCAGCGCGGTCAAGAGTGTCTGCTTGCGCTGCTGGCGCGATTCGTTCGGCACCTGGTCCTGGCGCGAGAGCAGACTGCGCACCATGCGGATCGACTCGAGCGCATCGGCATCGATGCTCGTGAAGATCACCCTCGCCACGCCCTGCAACACCTGTCGATCGACTCGACGCCCTTGCTTGAGCAGATGCACAAGCACCCTTCGTGCAGCATCGACAGAGCCCACCGCCGCCGTGCACTCGAGTAGCACACGATAGTGCATCGAGCTAGCAGCGATCGTGGCCAGCTCCGACTCGGGCATGTCAAACTCCACCGCCGGCGCCTGTCTGTTGGGAGCCACGCCGAAGTAGGGCAGGCCTAGCACGTCCGTGGCGAAGCGCATGGCGCGTCTGGGATGCCCTGCGTTCAAAAGTGCCTTCATCACGTGGGCGGATGCCTTTTGCAGCGTCCAGTGGCGCTTTTTTTCCGTCTCTGGGCCGGAATCCGCAGTCAAGGCTAGCCGGAAGAACGCAAGAGCCTCGGCGTCACGTCCGAGTCGTCCGAGCATGCCCGTCAAGATGGCGTATGTCTCGGCACTCGGCTCTGGCGTCGGTCCGTGAATGACCATGACATCGGCAGCGGCCTCGGCAGCTGCGGCGTCGCCTTCGAGCCTGTCGACCGACGGGATGCGGAACAAGCGCAGGACGAGCAGTGCGCCGTCAACATCCAGCTCCTCGCTGAGCAGCATCAACAGCCGATTCACCACATCCAGCGTCGGGCTCTGGACGATCTTTGCATCTCGCCTCAGCAGGGCGGCCAGCGTGGGTCGGAATGTCTGGTAGCCGCGCAGGATGGTGAGCCACGCGCGAGCATCCACCTCGTAGCCGTGGCGGGGCATGGCCTCGAGCACCTCGTTGACCTGGGCCACGTTCTGCTGCCGCACGTGCGTACGCAGCAGCAAGTCGAATGTCTTGCGCGGCACCGTGATGCCAGCGAGCTCGAATGCCTCCCAGTAGCGTGAGACTCTGGCATGAGTGGACTTGGCGATGAGCGCGCGTAGACGCAGATGCAACAGCTCGGCATCGGGTTGACCGGCATTGTGGTCCTCGGCCACCTGGCAGATCTTGAGCACGGCCGCGTACCTTCGCATCATGCCCGCACGTGCGGCTAGTGCATGGAAGCACGCGAGCGGCAGCGGGCCAACGTGCTTGTGCACGTATCCGAGAAACGAGATGAGCTGGTCGAGCGAATCGTCCGCATCGAGCTTTACGTAGGTCTCGGCCAGCTTGCCTGCGAGATACAGCGCCGCCTGCAAATCCTCCGGACGCTGCAAAGCCAGATCAGGCTTGGACCAGATCAGCTCGCGCGCCTGCTGCAGTGCTTCGGCGAGCATGTTGGCGCAGTCGGGATCGGCGATGTTTTTGGAAATGTAGTCGAGGCTGTCGAGGATGAGCATGAGCTCGTGCCGAAGCGGGTAGTCGTCGGGCAGAGCCAAGCTCCATCGTGTCTCGGGAAGCCAGGCCGACGATGCTTTGATCTCGTCTTCGTACAGTGCGGGTGCGTCTTCAGGCAGGTTTCGTCGTCTTATTGGTGGGCTATACCGATTGAAGTCCATCTCCCTTCGCCAGCGTGTGCTGCGGTATTTGCGAGTCCAGTCGGGTGATGTGTCGGCATGTGCCGCCAGAGTTTTCCGGTCCGTACGTGCTGAAGGAACGTCGCCGACAGCAATGCTCTGCGGTGTGTGTCGAGGCTCTAATCGGCCTGTTCCGGCATCGTGGCCAGCTGTGATGTGGTCGGCCTGCCATTCTCGAGGGGCGACCGCAGCCTGAGAGGCATGGCCGGAAGCTGAAATAGGCTTCTTGACTGGCAAGCTTCCAGCAGCTAGCGAGCTCCGCTTGAACGAAAAGTCGTGCAAGCCTCGGCTTGAAGCCGGAATCTGCGAGCTCGACGAGGGGCCTGGAATTGGGTGTGCCACACATCTCGACGGCTTCCTTTCGATCACTGGGCACAGGAAAGCGGGCAAGAGCGCTTCAGCGCGCACCAGCGCCTTGGATCGAGCAGCCAGTGCGCGCTCGCCCGCCCTTGCGGCCAGGTGCGGGCCGCCGAGCATTCCAGTTCACACAGCCGCGGATCCGGTGTCTAGATCATGCGGACTGTGTTATGGCTGGCAGCATCGAACCAGCTTGTCGGCGGAACACTGAGATGATACGATCCTATCAAGCGCTGTCGGTTAGTTGGGAGGTCGTGGCACAGGCGGCTAGAGGATGGTGGAAGCCGGCGAGGATGGCGGCCGAGTCGGATGAGGATGAGCTAACGAAAGGGTCCCGAGAAGATTTGTTGGTCGCGTGCTCCAAGCCGAAGAAGCGGATTTTCCCACCAAAAATGATTGCCTCCGCCAACCAAGTCTTCCGGCGTGAGCTCAAAATCTGAAAGTCGGCGCCCGTGTGACGGATCTCGGAAGCTGATCCTCTTTTCATGATGCCAACACCCGCACTTTCGGCTCTGTCGATTCCAGAGCTTCGCAAGACAGGGCGGATTCTCCCTCAAAGCATCGGAAGGTCACAGAGGTTGAGAGCGCGCGGATCAGGGCACGAAACCGGATGTAGTGTGAGTGGAAGAGGCTAGTTTACAAGGGACGATGTGATCATGGGAACGGATGCTCGAGCGGATGCTGTATAAACCTCAAGTATGGTCGACTGATGCCTTGAGCGTGAGCTATGCGCGCGCGCTTCGAGATCGTGAGGAGGACGATGTGGGGATGACGGGCTTGCGGTAGTTGAGGCGCTTTGCAAAGGCACCCTTTCCGATGCGGATGACAGAGTTGCGCTGCTTGCCTGGCAGAGGTGCTGGCTGACCCTCGCCCACCTGACCCGCCAGTGGCCTGGAGCCTGCCATGGGCTTTGTGAGCAGCCTTCCGCGCGGCTTGTTCTCTCCGAGCACCTTGAGCCGGTCCTCGTCAATACGCCTGGGTCCCTCGACGGCAACTGTCGCCTTGAGCCTCAAGAGGTGCTCCTGCGCCATTGTCACGAGCTTTTCCCTCGCCTCCATGCCGCCGTACTGGACGACCTTGGTGATGTTCTTGCGGGTGAAGTGGTTGAAGCGCTCGTCCTGCTCGATGGTGGCAAGGTCGAACTGCCTTCCCGTCAAAATGTCGCCGCCGCCGCGCTTGGTGATGTGGTCGTACACCTCCTTGGCGAGGGTGCGTGCGGTCATCTGCATGCGCAGGTCGAATGGGTTGTCGACAAGCTCGAGGATGGCACGTGGCGCATGGTCGCCCTTCCTGTTGCCGTGCAGATGAATGCGTGTGTAGCCGCCGGGGCG